TTATTTAAAAAAAAAAATTAATCATATTTCAACATATTAGTATAAGAAATTTGATATATTTTATAAATTTATAATAATAAGAAAAATCCTACATAAATTTAATAGATATTTATAATTATTATTGTAGGTACTCTTATCGCTACATGAATATGTATTCATGGATACCGCCGTTATATTATTATTGAAAAATAAAAAAATGTATTGATTTAGGCAACTAATCGTAAAAATATAAATCAATCGTCTTCAAAAAAACTTGAAAAATTCAGATAATGAAATTCTTAAAGTCTGAAACTTTCTTCCAGACACATTTAATACATGCATTAAAAAAAGTGCCTCATTCCATATTTTCAAATTTTTCTTCTTACGCGTGTAAAAGTTTATTTTCCGCAATGAATTTAATAAAATCGAAACAAAGAATGCTTTGATCAATGAAACCAGTGCAACTTGTGTTTCATTGAAAATTACATACTGTGTCTGTGAATTGACCTATTATCAAACTATGAACTATAAGAACATTATTTGTGTCGTTTCGTCGGCTTTTGTCATAATTTTAATTTATGAGCAAGATAATATAAGCATTTTTAAATCGTCATATTTCAGACGTTCATAAAAATTTAAAAAACCGACGACACGACACAGAAAATATTGTTATCTTTCAGTTTGATAATGGGTCAATTCACTGCCGTATTAAAACTAACAGCGCAGAGTTGTCCTTGCCAAATAAATATTTGCTATGTCGCGCAATTGTGCGACGGAGACTGGAATTCATGCGGCGATGCGAGTCCTATTAATGGACCTAATGTAAATATTCCTGAACTGCCATTTCTGTTTTTGAATCGCAGATATTAATTAAATACGGATTCATATTTTTAAAAATTGACCGAAATGATACTGCCTACTATAATAATAAATCAATTATACAATTATAAAATTATATAGGTATTATAATCGTTTACGCGCAACATTGGGATAAAAAAAAAAAAAAAAAATGACGACTAGAATAAAATAAAAACCTTCAATATTATATTGTAATCGACTATTTATAGGTTTGATAAAACAAAAATAATATTCAAACATTCGATTATCAAACGGATATTATAGACTGTAACCATGATGCGTTAGCGTGCGGTATTATATTATGTATGTATGTATGTAGGCGTATAATAATAATAATAATAGTGTAAATTATCGTAAACTGATAGAAAATTGAGTATTAGAATTTAATTAACAACAGCAAAAAAAAAAAAAAAAAAAAAAAAAAAAAAATTTTT